TACCTTAATCACCTCTTTAAATGCTCTGTCTCCAAATATAGTCACATTCTGAGGTACTGGGGCTTGGAGCTTCAGCGTATGAATCTTGGGGACATAATCCTGCCCATCACAGAGAACTCATGAAGAGCAATGTTGGTGGAGAAAGCCAGGCGTGGGGTAAGGACGGTTTAGGAGGACCCTAAAGAGACAACTGGGGAAGGCAACTCCTTAAGAAGTTTAGCTGTGAATGGGATGTGTGGTTCTCTGTGGCTGGGTAACAAATCTTGCCAAAACTTAATGGCTTAAAACAACAATTTTATTCTTCTTGTCACTCTCAACTTGGGCTTGGCTGGGACCCTGGGGTGGCTGGGAGTGCTAAGATGCCTTGTCCACACAGTTGGCAATCAGTTTGGACAACTGGCCAGGAGCTCCCTGTCATTGCTGGCCTGAGTATGTTGGTTCTCAGCCCTATGTCCTCACCACATGGCTGCTTGGGCTTCCTACAGTGCTGTCAAGACCCAGCACTTCCAGAGGACAAGCCTAGGGCGCAAATGTGGATTAAGCCTCTGCTTACAATATGTTTGCTAATGCAAATGCTAATGCTTACATCATGGCCAAGCTCAAAGTCAGTATGGGAGGCGCAGATCATTGGGGACCACCAAAGTCAATATGCCACAGGGTCAAGACACTGCAGGCAGTGAGAGGGGCTCTAAGGTTGTGGCAGGATATGTTTTACAGATGGTAGTGACTGGCTGCTTAAGAGCTAAGCAGAAAGCCAGTAGAGAGGAGAGATACTGGAGTTGGAGGGAGCAAGTGATGATCTAAAACTCAGAGAGCTGTGCGTCACTGAGCGTTCACCACATGCCATTCTAAGAGCTGGCAACAGTCCAGCAATGCACCCCCTTTTACAGAGAAGACTCAGTGCTCTGGGATTAAGCTGGGTGCATGGCAGAGCTAAGAAGTTTCCTGTTCTGCCTAACTCAAAGTCATCGTTCCTAACCACGCTCCTCACTGCAGTGGAACAGTAGAGTGATGCTCACTGGGTGTGATGGGCTCCTTTGTGTCCCCCTCAAATTTATATATTGAAGTCCTAACCCCAAGGACCTTACAATGTGACTTTGTTTAGAAATAGGGTTGTTGCAGATGTAATTAGGTAAGTTAAAATGAGATTATACTGATGTAGGATGGCCCTAATCCAATATCCCTGATCCTTAGATAAAGGGGAAATTTAGACACGGAGACATGCAAACAGGGAGAACACTTTCTCAAGATGAAGGCAGAAATCGGCGTGAGGCTTCTATAGCCAAGGAACAGCAGTGAGTGCCAGCAAGCCACCAGGAGCTCAGAGAGAGGCCTGGGCAGATCCTCACTCATGGCCACAGCTTGATCTCAGGCTGCCGGCTTCCAGAACTGTGGGACAGGAGCCTTCTGTAATTTAAGCGGCCCTGTCTGTGAGACTTTGCTCCCGCAGCCCCAGGAAGCTGCTGCACTGGGGGAAGAGGTCGGGGAGGCTATGAGAGTAGACCCCAGAGCTCAGGGGAGGGACTGGCTTCAGGCAGGAAGAGGCACAACGGGTTCTGTTTGTAGGCACAGGAAAAGATGAGAGCGTGATGCTCCTACTCCGGCAGAAAGGCAGGGTTTACCCTGAGAGAGATGACGGAGGGGTGGGCTGGAGGCCCGAAGGGTGGTATATCACTTCGCTATTGCTGTGTAAGAATCCACCCCAAACTTAGTGACTTAAAACCTCAACCATTTCTCATCACTCACAAGTGTATGGCCTGTCCCTGCCATTGACTGGCGGCTGGGACCTGGGCTGGCCGGTCCCACTGTCTCTGCTCCATGCCAACTCTCAGGCTCCAGCAGATTAACCCACCTTGTCCTCGCAGGCAGAGCCGAGGTTGCAAGGGCTCTTGAGGCTGAGCCCAGAACTGGCACCGCTGTAACTCCACCACGCTCTGCTGGCTGAGACAGACTCATAGCGGCAGGAGTGGAGGGCATGGACACAGGCATATAGGGCGGAGAGGAGTCAGGGTATTTCACAATCAGCCCCAAAGGCTAAAAGTCATCACTGCAGAGGACATGAGACAGGGACCCACAGACAGATTTCCAAACTATGCCCACCCTTCTGCCCAGTTGGGAGAACCCAAGCTTGTCAGTGAGTCGAACTCAAAAGCTGTGCATTTGAGTCAGCCCCTCTGGCATCAGGGAGAGGCAGGAGCAGGTCTGTCCTGTGTTTGGGACAAGGCACACAGGCGGGAAAACCACAGGTGCCCCTCAGCCTGGTTTGAGCTCCAGCTTCACCACCCACTTGCCAGGGAATTTCCTTCCCTTCTTGGCATTTCTGTGTCCTTGTCTCATCTGTGAATGGAGAAAACAAGAACACAGTCCCCTGTTTAAAAATCCAGAAGACCCTGAGAAATGGGAGGTGTTTATGTAAGTTCGTGGTTAATCAGCTTGGCGGCATGCCTTGACCTTGTGTGGGGCCCTCTTGGAAACATCACTTGCACAATCTATTCAGTGACATGGGGTGTGATAACATGACACATATACACAGCACACAGTACACGTGTCTTCCAACATCTGAAAACTTGAAGCCTGAGCCATCCAGCACCCCAGAACTGCTGGACATGGGGATGAGCTGGCATTGGTGGCCAGCACGGTGGCCAGTGCATGGAGAGTTTCCTGCTGTTGCAGTCAAAGGGACCAGTGGGGTGAAGAATCAGCTCAGTTGCTGCTCGCCCTGCTGTGTTCCTTAGCACCCCAAGAGGAGCTCACATTTGCCCAGTGAATGAATGAATGAATGAATGAGTGCCTTAGCTGCCTGACTGCTCTCAGTTCTCCTTAAAAGGGTAGGGGCTATGCATTATTCACCTCTGTACCTCTGATACCTCCTACAGAAGTTAGCACCGCACACAGTAGTGGCTTAAACAGCAGATATTTATTGTCCCACTGTTCAAGATCAAGGTGCCAGTGGGGTTGATCTCTCTGGGGGCCTCTCCTCAGCTTATAGATGGCATCTTCTCCCTGTGTCTTCATGTGGTCTTCCCTCCGCATGTGTCTGTATCCTAATCTCCTATCTCCTATTCCTTTATTTATCTAATTATCTATCTATCTATTTATGGAGATAAGGCTTTCTCTGTTGCCCAGGCTGCAGTGCAATGGCATGATCATAGCTCACTACAACCAAAACCCCTGGCCTCAAGCCATCCTCTCAGCTTGGCCTCCCAAAGTGCTAGGATTATAGGTATGAGCCACCATACCTGGCCCCTAATGTCCTATTCTTATAGGACACTAGTCAGGTTTTATTAGGGCCCACTCACAGGACCTCATTCTTCCTTAATTACCTCTGTGAAGACCCTGTCTCCAAATACAATCACATTCTGAGGTTCTAGGGGTTAGGACTTCAACACATGAATGGGGGGACACAATTTCGCCCATAACAAGGATTCATGCTGTGGATCCGACAACAACCACCTCTGCTGTGTTACAAGTAAATGAGCACAGACACTCACATTCTCCCCCAGAACAGAAAATTCTTTCAACTATGACGACAGCTTGGTGTAGGGAATCAAAGGCCAGAGGACACTCCTCCCTGGTCGTGTCCCTTCCCCCACCTATAAAATGGAGCACAGGACCAGCTGACCACTGAGGCCCCGCCTGGCTTCCGGCTTGGCTGAGGGAGCTCAGTCAGGACATGGGGACAGAGCCCTGCGCTGTGGTCAGGCTGAGCCCTACATGGATTCCCCACCAAGGAGTGAGCCCATCTTTTGGCCTTTCAACATCCCGGAGGAGTGAGTCGGAAGGAGGCTCAGACCCAGAGGGGAGCTGGCCCTGTGTCCTGCAGAGTGAGCAGGTGCTCGCAGGCCTGGCAGCTTCCTGCAATCTTCGCGCTTTCCCAGGGACTCTCAAATTTGTGTTTGCACCCCAGGTGGAGGGGCAAAAGAGTGTGAGTGGGCAGGTAAGCGTGAGGGAAAGCAGGAGGAAGGACAGAGGAAGAGGAGAGAAGTGATGTCAGGGAGATGCAGCAGCAAACACTGCCTGGGGGAGGGGCCTTCTCACCATGACGTCCCCTGACCACTGGGCCTCTCAGCCTCAGGAGCCACCTGCACCACCTGCCCAGGTCCAAAGCAGACCTGGCTGGTCAGCACAAGGGACACAGGAGAGGGCAGGAATGTGTCTGCCCAGCCCTGCACCCCCTGGCTCCCACCAGCCAAGCCCTCCGGGAAGTGACTCCCCTGCACTTCAGGCTCTGAGAAGTGGGACCTCATTCCCCACCTGGTGGTGTGTCATCGACAGTGAGAGGCCACCCAGCATGGCCTGGCACTGCCCACACTAGGGAAAGGGGTGGTTGAGGGGATCAGAAAAGGTGCACGGTTTTGTGTCCCCATAAACTCTGCTCCCAGGTGTACCTGCCAGCAACATCCTGACCCAGCCTGAGAGCAGCCCTGCTTGTGGTGGGGGATGGAGGAGAGGGCTGGAGGCAGCCTGGTGCCCACCACTGGGGGAGCAGGCATGGCCACTCGGGCGCACCGGGCAGCTGTCAGGAGTGACGGCTGGATCACTCCCAGCAGCGCAGACTGTAGAAACCACTGTGCAGAGCAGAAAAGGCAAGGTGCAAGAGGCACAGTAACAGCTCAGCATCAGTGGTCTACATAATAAACTCATTCATCTTACTGAACAAATGTTTACAGAGTGCCTGTGTTTGCTAGGCACTGTCCTCGACAGCACAGCAATGATATACACTTCATAATAATATAAAAGCAAACCCACACACACCAAAACAGTCATCTGCGGGAGGGGGTGGGGTAAAGGAGAGGTGGGGAGCAGGGCGCCAGCACTCAGCTTCAGCTGATTGGCACCAGAGGAGCCCCAGCCTGAGAGCTAAACAGCACACATCCCAAATACACAGAGCAGTTTTTAGGGGAAATAAAAGATGCCCCTTTAGGGAGGAGAAGTACAGCCTGGAGCCAGTGTTTGCAGCTCAGTGAGTGAAATGCAAGCCAGATTTCAGCCTCACTCACCTCCACAGCTGATAGCCGTGGGCAGTGCAGGACCCGCACTGCTGTGCATGGCTGTGCGGTATGCTGGTCCACGGCTTGCACGCCCGGTGTTCACACGCCCAGGTAGCTGGATAGGGAGACAAAGGGAAGTATTACAGAGAGATGATAGGTTGAGAGGTGAGGGTCTCTGGGCTTCAAACTTGTGTGGAAGGACACAACCCCAAATCTCTGCGGCCGCCGGTCCTTATGGGAGAGGAATTGGAGAAACACACAGAGGGAGCCAGGATTATTGGTGAATTTTACTTTATTTTTTATTGAATAAATAGATCCTTAACTTGTTGATTAAAAATAAAACAAAGGATCCCTTTAGCCCTTCTGAGTGTGCCGGTGGTCGGGGAACCTCGGGGCCGCAGGGAGACACAGCATGGGCAGGAGGGCCAGGTGGGCTCTAGCTGCTGGGCCCTGCGCCTGGCAGGGGAGCAGGACGCACGAGGGATGGGAGGCCACACCCTGCGTCTCTCACCACCCACCCACGGGCCTCGGCTGCCGGGCAGGGCCTTGATCCCAGGGGTGGAAGGCAGGGGCCTGGGCATCTTTGGGGGTGGCGAAATGGTTTAGAGGTCATGAACTCGCTCTCCTCCTTCTCTCCTGCAGAGCCAGCACTGTGGACCCACCAGAAAAGGTAATGAAAGACACTGATCGTGCGTGGTGTCAAGGATGTAGAACAACTAGAATTCTTACAGAGGAGTTTAAGATGGTGTCATCACTTTGGAGAACTGTTTGGAAGCTCCCAGGAAAGCTGAGCCTGTGCATACACCGTGACCCAGCAATTCCAGCCCTGGGCACAGGCCCCACTGCAGCGTGTGAGACAGACTCACCAGAGACCTGACTCAATTGGTCAGCACATCCGTCCACGCATTCCACAGATGCTTATCGTCCACCTCCTGTGGGCCAGGCAGTCCTGAGAGCTGAGGACACAGGAGTGATGAAACAGACCACGGCGCTGGAGATTCATTCTGGCGGGAGAGACAAACACGATAAAATGCGGATAACAGACAGTGTGTGTGGAACACACTGGAATGTGGAGGGGCAGGCCATAATGTGAGCGTGTGGAGAGCGGTCACTAAGGAGACAGTGTCTAAGCATCTGAGTGGCCTGTGAGAGGCCAGAGGGAGTTGGCTTCGGGCAGGTCTGGAGGAGGAGAGTCCAGGCAGAGGGAATAGCTCGGGCAAAGGGCTTGGGGCAGGTGTTGGAGGAACAGTCAGGAGGCCAGGAAGGCTGGGCGCTGGAGAAGGGAAGGTGGAGCCAGTTAGAGAGGGGACAGGGACCTCAAGGGGCACAGGAAGGAAGGCAGGGCCCACTCACATGTCCACCTCCCCACAGACATGAGCTGATGAAGGCAGGGCTGGCTCTCGACCACCTGTGCATTCCCAGCACAAACCTGACACTTTGCAGCTTCTCAAAAATGCATTAAGTTGAAAGTCAGTTCCACGAGGACAGGACTTGGGCTGCCTGGTCTCCCACTCTCCACCTAGTGTCTAGACCAGGACCTGACATTTCTTATCTGGCCAGCCCCTTCCCTGGTCCTCGTGGTGACTGTCACCGCGCTGGTCCTAGAGTCCCCGGGGGGGCATCTGATGCTGCTGTGTGCAGGAGGCATCAGCCCACACATCCAGGCCCTGGGTCTGCAGCACCGCAGTGGGGAGGTGTGCCAGGGCCGCCGGGCAAGGGCGCTGCCAGAATCCCACAGGGCAGAGCTGCCCTCCATGCTGCTACCACTCTGCATCCCCGTAAATACCCCAGCCGCAGGGGAGAGCCTCCTGGGCATATTACAAGCAGCCTAAATAAGACACCTTTAATAAAAAGAAACACACAGCCCCATTTATACACAAGCGTATAATAGATTAAAATAATTTTAAATGCATGAGTCACTCACACAGACGTGTTTAAAAAAAGAAAAATCACAAACAGCACTTTGTGGTGAAGACAGCCATGAACAGGGGCTTGTCCCATGGATGGGACACCTGCTGTGCACCCCCGCAGCCAGCCTTTCTGAGAGGGAGACGTGCAGTCCACATAGTAGTGGCAGAGCCAGGTGTCAGCACCACTGACATCCGGAGCCTGAGTCCACCCTGCCGTTCCCCACTTTGTCTCCTAGCACAAACACCACAGGCAGAGCTGGTGGCCCTGTGGTTTAGGTACAGGGGGCGGAAATGACACAGTGGGTCTCACCCACTCATTTTCAGCTTCAGTCTCCTCATTTACAAACACCTTTAAGGGCTGGAGCTACCCACCTGCTGCAACAGTCCTCCTACAGCCCATCTTGAATTGCATACCTCCTGTGACAGGGGGCTCACTCCCTGACAGGCATCCCTAGCAGCTGACACTGGGGGCAGAGGAAGCTTCTCTTTGCTGGCACCAGCCTCCCTGAGGAGAGCAGCCCTGGGGGCTGATTCCCAGAGCTCCGTGCTGAACAGAGCCCCCGTCTTTCCCGCTCCTCTTCAGGAACCCAGGACACCCTCCTGCAGTCCACCTTGGTTCCCCTGCCTGGACGCTTGCCTTCCGCCTGGGTAGAGTGAGCTGCTCTTCTCTGCTATGAGTCCCCCAACCCTATTCTCTGCCCTGCCCTTATCGCAGACACCAAGTTCAGCTGCCTGGAGGGCTGCTAGCCATGGAATTGCAAGCAGCCAGGCACCACCTGGCACTGGTGTACCAGCCATGGGCCTGTGCTCCCTGGGCTTCCTACCCACCCACAGCTCAGGCCCCACCTTAGCGCACCCTCCCGCCCTGCCAGCCAGCAAGCCTGAGCGCCCCGAATCCCACCCTCCACCCACTTCTGCCACACCCTGGTGCAGCCCTTCGTTTCTGGCCAGGACTGGGGCGGTCCTCCCCAGCGGCAACCTGCCTCATACCACACACGCCCCCAGACACCACGAGAGGAGCCCCTCACACCTCCATCAGACCTTCTCTGGGAGGGTAGCCAAGGCCACCCTCGCCACACTGCTCTTTTGTGCCAGCTTCCCTCCTCCTCTCCCTCCTTGGCTCCAATGTCACCTTCTCGGGGGGCCTGTTTGATTTTGCACCCCATCCTCCTTCCCTGTCTTATTTTTGCCAAAGCCCTTTTCGTTTTACGACACGTTGCACACCTTGCTTACTTATCTTGCTCACTGTCTGTCCTCACATCTGGATGTGGCTCCTGAGGGCGGGTCTTGCTGTCCTGCTTGTGGCCATGTGACTCTGCGGGGGCTCAGCAGTGTTCACTGATCGCACTGACAAGCGAAGACAGCAGCTACGTGGAGTAAATGAAGCAGTGGCTGAACGAATGGATGCTCTTGGAGGGGTGGGACAAACCCAGAACCCCGTGCAAAGGAGGCACAATAGCTTTTTTCAATCGTGGTAAAATACACATAACATAAAATTTACCATTTTAACCATTTTAAGTGTGTAGTTTCATGGTATTAAATACATTCACATTGTTGTGCTAACATCACCACCACCCAGCCACAGAACTCTTTTCATCTTGCAGACCTGAAACTCTGTCTCCTCATTCCCCTCCCCAGCCCCTCGGAGGAGCAGGTCCACTGCGCACTGCGTAGCGACTTGTCTGAGCGCAGCGAGAGACAGAGCACGTGCACACACAAGTTACAGCAAGCAGACTGATTACAGATAGGCACAAGGGACAACTGAAGCTTAGGCTCCATTGCGAGCCGGTCCCCCAAGGCTCAGAAAAGCCACCTGGGGCAGATGGAGTCTCCTCCAGAGCCACCACAGCTGAGGGACCCTGGAAAGCAGGCTGCCCTGGGTTTCATACCCTGGGGCAAAGAAGCTCACTGGACTAAAGCATTGAAGGACATCTGTTTCTAGGGGTAACTGGAATAGAGCTATCCCCCCCCTCCGGCCACTGTGTTCCAAGCACATTTTATAGTTACACTTGAGAACTACAAGAGAGAAAAGGGGGAGAACTGAGTCTGCCCGAGGCCACCTGCACCCTGGAAACCATCCTTCTACTTTCTGCCTCTATGAATCTGACTACTCTAGATGTCTCACACAAGTGGAATCACACAGTCTGTGTCCTCTTGTGACCAGTACATTTCACTTAGCACAATGTCCTCAAGGTTCATCCAGGCTGTAGCAAGTGTCAGAATATCCTTCCTTTCTAAGGCTGAGTAATACTCCATCATGTGTATATTTCACCTGTTCTTTATCCATTCATCTGCTGGTGGACGCTTGAGTTGCTCCACCTTCAGCTACTGTGATAACACTGCTATGAACCTGGGTGTAAAAAAATAAAGCACAAATAACTTCTTGTTGCAAGATCAAAGAAGGGAATGAGGATATGAATGCATGAATGAATGATGCATTCTGAAGAGCAACCAGGCTCAAGCTTCTCCCTTTGCCCCCGTGGTGCTGGTTTCTGTGTCCTTCTCCTGACCCTCCAGATGTGCATGTCCCTGCGCAGCAGAAGCATGACAGCTCCATGTGCATTGGGCCTCCCATAGCCTGGCCAGGCTGCCAGGCAGGGCCCATCACAAAGAAACATGCCATCCCTTCTTAGAAGGACTCCTACTCATTTATTCTCACACTATGTCCATGGTCTCCTTGTCCTTGATGATCCAGAAATGCAAGCAGGCATCCAGGCCTCTGAGCAGCTGCTGCTGGCATCACACGGACCGGGCACCAGGCAGTGTGCCGTCCTCCTCGACTTCTCCTGGCCCTTCTTCTTCCCTGCCCCTCCTCCCCCTCTGCACACACCAGGGTGGCTTCCAGGTGGCTGGAGCAAAGGCAGCTGCTGCTTGAATGGGAACATGCAGCAGCAGAGGATTCTAGAAGCTCTGAGCTGGGCAGTGTCCTCAGAAAGTATCTATTCCTTAGATGATCTTAACCCTCATTTTGCAGCTATTCTGTTGTTCCAATGAGATCCTACCCAGGGCCACAACAGTTCAGAGACATGAGTGGAGCTGCTTTTATGGTCGCCCCTCCTGATGGGCCCCTGGAGCTCACCCTCCCCCCCTCATGTTACAGAGGGCAAGGCTGGAGCAGGAAGCACCAGACCAACACCACACAGTAGACAAAGGGTGCCGTGTCCAGCAAGTCACCACTGGGGGCAGCTGGAGCTTAACCCTGCAGGGGAACTCTGGGAGCCCCTCAGCATCATCCATGGTGGGGGAGGGCGCAGGTGTTCATCCACAAAGTCCCAGCAGCCCCTGGTTGGGGACCACTTGTGGGGGGAGGGTGTGAATTCCTTGGTACTGCCAGGCTGCTGCAAGGGCAGGCTCTAGTGGCAGTGGAAGCCCTCACCCAACTCAAGACCAGTGCTTACAGGTACAAGTTAGACCTGGGCCATCATTCATTCATCCATTTATTCATTCACTGCAAGGCCTGATGGGGTTGATGGGGAGCTGTTGAAAGGTAGGAATAATGAGGCCTGACCTATGAGGTCCTGAATGGCCACTCAAGTGGAGTTTCCCTAGGGCCACACCTCCAGGCTGCCAATCATCCTGACTCAGTTTACCACCAGCAGGCAGGGCAGGAGTGCATTCCAGTCACTGTGAAAGTGAAGGCCACATGACAGCTTCACACACATGTCGTAACCAGATAAAGGGTTTGGCCCAGGACCTCCCCATCTGTAAGTGGCAGGGCAAGGAGACATCATTCATCTGACCCACAGATCTTTCTCGTGCACTTATCTCACCCTGGTGCTGTCCAGGAACTGGGGTGCAGGACAGACAAGGTTTCTGCTCTTCCTGAGTGGACAGGCTGGCTAGAGGCGGCCAGGAGCCCATCAACTGGTAAGCTCCCAGAAGACATCCCCCCATGTAAGTGCCACGAAGGCACAGAAGGGAATTATGCAGAAGGGGGCTTCAAGGACCCCCAACACCAACCTGCCTCTAAAGCCCAGCCTCTTTCCTTGCATACACTGGATTCGTCAACCCACAAGAAGGGAGGAGCAGCAAAAGCCCAAAGAGAACCACTAGCCAGCCCCAGCCCCCTCTCCCAGAACAAGGGTACCCCCTGCAGCCTAGTGGCATGCTCTACCCCAGCTCCCATCAGCCCCAGGGACACCACAGAAACATCAAGTCACACCCTTGCATTTATTCCAAAAATCCTTTGGGAGGATTTCCCACTCACTATGTGCCTGGGACCTAAATGAAGCCATGAAATATTGTTATCAGTTCCCATTTTAAAGAGGGGAAACCTGGTATAGTGGATCATGCCTATACTCCCAGCACTTTGGGAGGCTGAGGTAGGAGGAGCACTTGAGGCCAGGAGTTTGAGACCAGCCTGGGCAACATAGCAAGACCCTGTCTCTACCAAAATTGTAAAAATTAGCCAGGCATGGCGGCACATGCCTATAATCACAGCTACTTGGGAGGGATAGCTGAGATTACAGGAGGATGGCTTGAGCCCAAGAGTTTAAGGTTGCAGTGAGCTATGATCATGCCACTGTATTTTCTGGGCAACAGAGAGAGACCTTGTTTCAAATAAATAAAAAGGGAGAAACCGAGGCACAGAAAAGACAGGTAACTTCCTCTCTAGAAATGGTGGCAATGGTGGTAGAGAATTCCTGTCCCAGGTGTGACATACATAACTGGTCCCCAGTACCAGCTGGCTTCTATCCCTGCCTCTGCTCAGGGAGGGCCCTGGGTTCTGGTCAGGCTCCAAGGCTGGGGACAAGAATGGCACTTGGAGCTCCCATGCCACATCCCACATGGCACCCTGTACAACGCATGACTCCAGGACCAGCCCAGACTCCTCTACACCCTACCCCTGCCTCCCTCTAGCCACCATTCAGACAGGAGGAAGGAACTCTAGAGACTCCTGGGAAGGGGAAAGAACCACCCAGCCAGGCATCCTCCTAGCTCTGGGAGGTTTCTGAGCACTTGCAGTGGTATGCAACTCACAGCAGCCAGAAAGGCTGAATCCAGGCCTGTAAATCCAGGTCTGCAAAGCACGGTCCCTGAGTGCTGGGGGAATGCCAAGCGGAGGGGAGCTGCTGCCTCAGGGCCCTCAGGCTGTGTCAGGAACTGGGTGGCCTTGCTGGGACAGAGGCCAAGCACAGAGCACCCTGAGTGCCAGAGAGCACCCGAAGGGTGAGTAGGGGTGGGAGCCACTTCACCCTCGGGAAGTGCGACTGGGGAGCCCAGGCAGGGATCAGGAGGAAGTCCTGGACAGCAGGAATAGCAGGGAAGGACGCTGTAGGGCAGGAACAGCATGTGTCAGTGCACTGAGTAAGGGGGAGCTTGGCCTGTTCGAGAAGAAAGAACACAGTGAGGAAGTTTTCCATTCCTTCCATTTTGTTCACTGCCAACCAGACAATGAATTTGCTTATTTCTGTGCTCAAGGTCGCTCTGTGGTCTGGGAGACAGCTGGTTTGAGTCCCTCCCACCGAATCATCTCCTTCAGTAACTCTCCTTTCTGCCCTTTTCCCCTTTCCTTTCCCCCGACTTTCTGTCGCTCCTGCGTCTCCGGCTTCCTTTCTGTTGGTTCTTTGCCTCGACCTCCCTCCCCACCGGCTCCCAGCCGCGCTCGGGCTCCCTCCTCTCCGTCCCTCTCTCGGCCTCCTCTTTCTCTCTCTCAGCCCTCCCACACTCGTCCGTCAATTTAGGCATCTCGCTGTCTTTCCACCTCTCTCCTTCTTCTGTTTCTCACCTCGTGTCTGGCTCTCTGCTCTCGGCCTCCGCTCCCTCGAGGTCCCGGGCCCAGTGCGCGCCCTCCCGGCCTGCCGCCTCCACCCGCCCCTCCCTCGCGCCGCCTCCCGCCGCCCGTGCGCAGCGCCGCCGCGCGAGCCAGCTAATGCGTTTCGCATGGCGCGTCAGTCAAACGCCCTTCTAATGTCCTTAAAGCACGCAGAAAATTGCATCCTTATGAAAAAGAAAGAAAAAAACCAAATTGCCTGGTGGAGGCGGAGCTGCCGCGGGGGCTGGGGCGGCTGCGCGCGCCCCGTTGAGTCCCCAAGGGCCGGGCAGGCGGCGGGCGTCCAGGGCCCTCCCCGGCCAGGGACGGGCGCCTGCGGCTGCCTCCTGCGCCGCCTTCCAGGCAGCACCTGGGCCGGCCTCCGCGCCTCCGCGCCTCCGCACCTCTCCAAGCTGGATCCCGACGCGCCACCCTTCTCCGCACTTCTAGGCCACGTTCCTTACTGCTCCAGACCTCTGCGCTTGCTTTGCTTGCTCGCTTCCTTCTTGTCATTCAGGTCTCAACTGAAAGGTCCGTTTCTGAGGCCGACAGTCCCAGACCGCCTCGACTAAAGTCCCCACTCCACTCCTTGTCTAGCACCTGCTTCAATTTACACATGGCATCTGTCACTCCCTGAAATCATCTTGTGGATTTAACTGGCTTCTTCACTATCTGTCTGACTTCCAACATAAGCTCCTAGGTCGCTGGCTGTGCCCATCATGCCTAGCACGGTACCTGACACATAGCAAGCACCCCGTAAGTACTTCAAGAACAAATGGATGAGGCTCATTCTGGGTGGGCAGGGCTCTGGAGATCCTAAGGTGTCTGGGGCACCCCAAGCTGGACTTTACTGCTGCTGAGTGAGAGGCAGTGGAGACCCACAGAGCTGGAGTCAGATCCAATTCTTCTATTAATAATAACTGTGTGTTCCTGGGTAAGTTGCCTAACATCTCTGAGCTTTATCTTCATCTACAAAATGAGAGTAGGAGCACCTAGCTTACTGGGCTGTCACTGGATCAGCCAGATAATTCAGAATGGGGGGGGCGCTGTGTCCCCAGCACTGAGCTGGTCTGCCACACTCAATAAATGCTTGGTAAATGAATGAAGGGCTGACATAAGAGCGTGGTAAATATCAGAGATACAGTAACATTATTGTGTAAGAACTTATTGTGTAAGGCAAATTGGACTCTTACAGTTACACAAGTGACTTTCACTGCTGCCAGAGGAGGACCCCGCCAGACTGTAGTGCAGGAAGTTACCAGTGGCCCAGGGACCAGAGCAGAAGTGGAGAGCTTGACCCAGAGCCAGGCAGACTCAGCAGGTACTGGCCCTGTGGCCATAGTCAGTCACCTTTCTGCCCTGCCCATTGACCAAGGGTGAGGAGTCCCAGCTCCTTTACCTCCCTAAAGTGGGGCTGGGGAGGTGGTGTTGGAGAAGTTTCCTTCAACTGGGAGATCTGGGCTCCAGGCTGAGCTGAGGCCCGGTCGCCGGTTGGCTGAGCACCTGGGCCTGGACAGGCCTTGCGGGCAGAGGTTCCAGCATTAGTTGGTCCCCACTGTGGACGACGAAGTCGAGGTGGGATCAGGGGGTGTCTCTTGAGTTCCTTTTCCAGTGCTGTCTTCTGGCGCAGGGGCTCCAAGAGCATAGAAACGAAATCAGGCCGTCGAGCAGTGGGAAACAGAGGACGCGCCTGGTTTCTGCGGGGACCACGGGGCTGGGGGAGATGGCGGGAGTAGTGCTCACTCTGGATTGAGGGAGCAGCATTTGGCCACTCGCCGCCGCCGGCCCTGCTCCAGGCCTCGGCTTCCCTGTCTGCACAGTCAGAGGATGCCCTCCGGCTCCAGGAGACGCAAGCCTCGGATTCCGCCGCGGCTAGCCTCGGGATCCGCAGAGACCCTCCAGGAGAATCCCGAACAGCGAAAGGGAGCAAGCCGGCGGAGTAACTTTTATTAAAAAAAAAAAAAAAAGTGAGAAGCCAGGGAGGGATGGCGAACTCCGACCCGGCGCGGCCGTGGGCGGTGCCGGGCTCCGCGCGGCGCGAGCAGCCAGCGGGGCTCTGAGCGCACCGGCCGCCGCGCCCCGCGCCCCCGACGTCCGCGCGGCCGAGCTCGGAGCCGCCCCACGCTCTCTCCGACGACCGCGCCCGGCCACGGCTAGCTCCGGGCCGCGACCGACAAGGCAGACGCGCCCGTCCTCCCGCGCGGCCGAGCCAGCCCCTCGCAAGGACGACCGTTCGGCCCGAGCCCCGCGTGTAGACCGCGAGCGCAGCCTTCGCCCCCCGGCCAGCCTTGCCGCCCGACGACCCTCGGCCCTCCGCGTCCCGGGTCCCGGCGGTCCGAGGCTTCCCCGCCTCCCACCCGGCCACAGCTCTCGCGAGACTGCCAGCCGCGCCTCTCCGGGCAGCGGGCCTGCGGGCTGGGGAGTGCAGCGCGGTGGTCTAGCGCCCGCGCCGTCTCCGCATTTCGTCTCCCTGGACTTTGGGCCGGAAAGAGACTTGTGCGGCGTGGGAATCAAAGGGCCTTTCCCTTCCTCAAGCCCGGTCTGGAGTGGGGGCGCAGCTGCTGCGGGCAGGGGCCTCCGGCGGACCGCGTCACCCTGCGGGTGGGATGGGCCCTTTACGCAGAGCCGCAGCTTTCGGCTGCAGTCTGTACGCAAGTCTCCGGGGCGCTGGGCAGTCGTCTGCCTTCGTGCCTTAGCTCCTCCCGGAGCAGGCCTGGAGCTTCCGTCGGGTCTCGGGACTTCACCGAGCAAGAAAGCCCTGCCGCTCCTCCCTGGCTTCCGAGCCTTGGTCTGCCGCTGCGGTCGCCCGCTCCCTGTGCAGCCACGCACGGAGGCACAGGCGGCGACAGGAACTCCACCCCTCTCGCCCTTCCTGCACAGAAATCTGGACTCCCTCCAGATTGTTTGAGGCCCAGCTTCCCTACTGACCCACAGGTGACCAGGTCCCCCACCTGTGCCTGGAGGGGGCTGTACGAGCTGAAATATGGGGGCCTTGTGCTCTGACTCCGATTCCCTGGACCCTCCCACCTCTTAGAGCCCTGGCCCTACAAAAACTGCTTGGTCCTGTACAGTGAAGGGCGGCTGTCTTGGGAAACCGCCAAAGATGCAAAGGGCAACTAATTTGCCTAATGTCACATTCTTCAGATTTAATAAAACCGGAGGACCCTGAAGGAGCTTTGACTGATGCAGGTCAGATCCCCTTCCTTGCTCTGCTTCATCCAGGCGAGTGCTGCTTTCCTCCCACAGCTCTGCATAGTTGACAAAGGCATAGCTGGAATCTCAGCTCTTCAGGCCTCCCCAGGGACAGAAGCTGGACAGTCACTTTCCTCTCTTTTGAAATGGAGAGGACTAAACTCAGTAGTGTGAGTCCCTTGGCTGGCTGTCCGGCCCAGTGCAGGAACGTTACTGCAGGATAGCTAGGTTAACCGACCTGGGAGTAACCCCAAGGCCGGAAGGAATTAGGGGAGTAGTCACACTGATGATTCATTTCTTCCAGGAAGCCAGAGTAGGGCAGGTTTTCTGGAGGCGACTAGTCTGGGAGTTGTTTGCAAGGATGAATTAAGAGCCCTGAGCTAGTAAGAGCTGGTTTCCAAGACACTGAGCAGGGCTAGGGCTCAGAGCAGTCTGCAACCCTCCGGAAGTGCTCTTTGGAGCACTTTGAATCTCTTTCCCTTGTCTTTCTGCCTGAAAGGACCTGGATTCAAATCCTGGTCCTGCTTGGAACTCTGCATGGCCAAGTTGCATCATCTTCCTGAGTTTAACCAGTAAAGTGGCCATCTTTCCATCCCTATAGCCTGGTCATCTCACGTAGGAAACACAAGGATACATGCAGCTCTGAGTCCAGCCTGGAAAGCTAGAAGCAACTGAGACCTTTCCCATGAGGAAATGACACCCCACCTTCAGGGGCTGCCAACTTGCACCTCTGAAAGGGACCACCCTGCGTGGACCAAAGGCAGTTCAGAATCATCTCTCTTTTTCAGTCGGGTGTCCTCACTGTGCCCAGCCCAGACTTGGTGCCTCTGCCCATCTACACCACGGAAAATGTGCAAACTCTGGGGAGCCAGCACTGTTGTAGAGAGGAGGGGGCAGGCTGCTGCTGGTGCCGGCCTCTGTGTGAACCTTGACTCCTCCGCTACCAATCCCCCTCATAGGGGTTGGGCAAGACCATCTCGAGGACCTTACCCTGAATCCTTCAAGTCCCAGGACGCCCAGCCAACAACCGAGGAGGCTCTCAGCCTCCGCCCACTTCCAGAGCAAGCCCATGAGCCTCCAGCTCCTGCTTCTTTGGATACCCCAAGTGCAACCTGTCTGCTACCACATGCAGCACCCCAACTGGGAGGGAAGGAAGGGAGGAAGGAAGGAAGGAAGGAAGGAAGGAAGGAAGGAAGGAAGGAAGGAAGGGAGGGAGGGAGGGAGGGAGGGAGGGAGGGAAGGAAGGAAGGAGGGAAGGAAGGAAGGGAGGGTGGAGCTTAGACTGGCCCCTCACTGCAGAGTGGAAGCGACTCCCAGGACCCCACAGCAACCCAGCCTCCCACCGTGCATAGGCTGGGCCTGGGGGAGCAGGGCACGGCTCCCCTAGACATAGCCCTAGAATGGGATGTTTTGAGGCGACCCAGATTGCCCTTCTTACCTTGCCGCACCCCCACACCCGCAGATTTGGAAGCCGCTGCACCAAGCTCCATTGTGTCATAAAATATTTTATTGGAAAAAAGTCACTGTCTTCGCAAGAGAGGGGTAGGGGCCCCAACGACCTTGGGTACCCAGCCTCGGGGTGCAGCCTGTGTGTTGTCCGGGCACCGTCTGTGGTCTTGGTGGCCTGCGCCCAGCCGCAGGGTCCCTGACTCCCGGAAGCGAGTGCGTGCGGGAGGCGGCGGGCGCAGGGCCGGCCGAGGCGGGGTGCGGGCGCAGGCGCAGAGCGGGGCGTGAATGCGCGTGAGCGCTCAGCACCGCGCAGCTCAGGGCAGAGACAAGTAACCTCCGCTTCTCTGGACCCATGCCTCCCAGATTAGAGCCCAGGAGCGGTTTGGATTTAGGGTCTGTGTCCGTTTGCCCCTAATTGTCCGCATTCAAGATAATAATAAAACGTTTAGAACGCAAACGGCTTGGACGCGGAAGGGCTGGCTCGCGGGGTCTCAAGGAAAGAGGGGGACGCGCGGGGCGCCAGGGGCCGAGTGCCACACCTCGAGCTGCGCTCAGTCCTCGCAGCTCCTGTCGCTTGGCTCGCCCGGCACCTCTGCCGGCTTCTCCGCCTCCTTGGCGCGCTCCTGCTCCGTGAGCTGCTCGCTCGTGGGAATAGAGTTCTTCTTTGGCCGCCCCTTGGGCTTGGTGGGGGACTCCAGACCACCGCCCTGCAGCACCTGCAGGGAGGACGGCCAGCACCGAGGTGAGCTGGGATGTGGACCGGGACACACTGGCTCCCCCCGCCCCATGCCCTGCGGCCAGGCGGGACTGAAGCGGCCAAGGGGTCCATCAGAAGCCCCGGGAAATGGCAGCCATTTGTCTGAGCGCCGCTGCTCTGAGGAGAGTGGCCTAGGAGTTCAAGGCTGCCAGGAGGCCTGAGGATGCAGGGGCGCAGGAAGGAATGCCGGCTGTGCTAGGACATCCAGAGGGACAGAGAGAACAGAGAGGGTCCCCGTGCGCACCAGGCACCCAAGGAATCCAGAGGGTTGGGCAGAGGTTGCTACAGGAAGCAGGGGAAGAACTGCTTTGCAAGGCGCAGGGACATGGCCCAGAAAGCTGAAGAGGCGGGAAGCCATCAGGCACACTCACTATTTTCTTCCACTTCATCCTCCGATTCTGGTACCACGTCTTCACCTGCAACTGGCTCAGGCCCAGGGACTCCGCCAGATCTATTCTGGAAAGAACAGGGCGCGTGTCAGCAGGGCAGGCAGCCACCCTCCCATGCCGTCTGGCCCCAGCCTGGCCCCACACTACCTGTCTGGTGTGGAGAGGTACTTCTGCTTCTCGAAGCGTTTCTCCAGGCCCATGAGCTGCAGCTCAGTGAACACAGTGCGGCTCCGGCGCCCCTTCTTGGCCTTGGTGCCGGGCTCCCCAGGGCCCGCCGTTTCCAGCTTCCCGCGGAGCTGCAACTCTAGCGGCAGGTGCGGCGCGCCCGCCGCGCCCGGCAGCCCAGGCCCCGCGGCCAGCAGCGCGGAGCTCAGCCCCGAACAGCCAAGCGGCGCCAGCGGGAACTTGAACACCGCCGCCTGCTCGGCCTTCAGCACCGCTGCGAGGAAAGAGAGTGCGGAGCCCGGTGAGCTCGGGCCGCGCGCCTCCCTCGGGAGCCGCCACACTAGGCGCCACATGGGTGCTGGCGCTTGGCCAGTGCCACCCAGCGCAAAATCTCCACGCCGGACCGCGGGCCGCGAGGATTTGCACCGCACGCCAAGGGCGACCCTCCTCAACGCCGGTGTTCCCGAAGTCTGGGAGGCTGGACCTCCCCTCCCGGTGCTCTGCCCGCGCGTCCCCAGGCCCCAGCCGCCATTGGGATGTTGCGGTTCTCCATGAACAAGTTCGCAGCTCTGAGAAGCGTGTAGAGTGTGTGTTTCGGGGAAAAAGGGAAACCAAGGAGAAAAGGCAACCAGTTAGGAAGATGGGCGTTTGCCCCAACCAAACCAGCACTGTGCGTTAGAAAAAGAACACGAATGGAGTGTACACATTTGCTTTTCGGTGCGTGGCACAACAGCCGCGCAGGGGCCAGGCGACCAGAGCCTCATCTGGGGCGGGGTGGGTTGGGGTGCTTCCCAGAAATTCCAAAGCATTCCGATTACCCAGAAATTGTCGGTCCTGTTTTCCCTCCAGACTCTTCCCCGTGAAGATGTTTCCATTTTCTTTAGTCCTTAACCGATTTTTTTGCCCGCTTCAAACGAATTATTAACAACAGAGCAATGGAGGTGAAAGGCAGCCGAGACGTAGTGTCCCAGATGGACTCAGGACGACCAAATCGGCAATGCCACCCGCCCCGCGGGCTCCAGCGCTAGCTGGGATGAGAGGTGTGGGGAAGGCGGCTTGCTGGGCTGGAGTCCCGGGTGCAGCGTAGGAGCTCCCTCCCCCACGGGCGTCTCACTGCAGGGTGCATCCGAGCCCCGCGGGAGCCCACAAGCATGCGCCAAGGTGTGGAGAAACGGGGTAGGAAAACTGGCGGGGAAAAGGGATCCATGGGGGAAAGATGGCAAAAGGGAAGCAGACCGACCCCAGAGAGAGAAACGGGGGAGGTCGACCGACGGGAGGAGAGCGTGACAGGGAAAGGCAAGAAGAGGGTGGAGTGCGACCGGGACGGCGCCAGCCGCGCAGGGCAGGCCTCGCCAAGGAAGATGGAGAAAGGGCAGAGTGAAGAGGTCTGAGCAGGCGGCCTAAGTACCTCAGAGGCCCAGCCAAACTGGAAGTGGAAGGGCCAGCTTGGCGGAGGCTCCTTCTCACAGGCCTCCTGCCCCCGGGCAAGGCCCAGGCAGGTCCTCACTGCGGCGAGGCCGCGTGGGTCGCCCGCTGGAGCGCTCTGGGCTCCGGGCGGTTCCAGAACGGTTTGGGCCAGCGTCAGCACCCAGCACTCCGAGACGCAGGCCTCTTGCCCACAGGTCCGGGCTTCCCGTTTTGGGTAACCGCGACCACTCTCGGCCAGCCCCCTGCTGCGAAACCCAGGCGCCCGCGGCTTGAGGTCGCTTTCACTGCTGTGATCTGCTGCCTGGTCGTGCGCCCGTGCTGGGGATGCGGGCTCGGGGTCCCCAGGCTGGAGGCCGGAGGGCAGCCGTGAGTGAGAGCGAACGCCCTCTTCGGCCTGCCCGGCGGGCACGAGGCCTGGTTTCGGTGCGGCCTGGCGCCTGAACCCTCTGCTTCCCGGCTGGAGCGCGCTGAGAGACGGGTCCCAGCGCCTGCGCGCCCAGACCTGCTTCCCCGGACGGCGACAGGGCTGCGGTAGAGGAGGGGGGAGCTCCGGGGCGCCCCCGCGGTGCGGCTCGCTCGGTCACCCCAAGCCCGGCCCTCGGCCCCGGCCCCCGGCCGCCACACGTACCCAGGTGGCTGTGGAAGGGCCGCGCCGCCAGCAGCGCCTGCACGCCGAACTTCAGCAGCTCGCCCGCGGCGGCAGCGGCTGCGGCGGGCGCGGCGCCCTTGGGCCCGGGCGGCTCGGTGAGGATCTCTTCGATCATAAAGCTGCGGTAGCGGTGCGGCCGGTGGTCGGCACAGCCTTCGGGAGGGACGAAGCGCGCAGCGCCCGGCTCCCCCGGCCGCTGCATCGTGGTGCCCAGGGCCGCGCCCGCGGCTCGGTGGCAGTGGTGGCTCGGCTCGGGCGCGGGGCCCGCGCGGGGTTCTAGGCCGGCCCGCAGCTCCCGGCGGCGTGCGGGCGCCGGCTCATGCTCCCGCCGGCCGGCCGGGCCCGGAGGCGCAGGGCGCGGCGGGGCCGGCGGGGCTGCGCTGTCGGACCCGGGACTGCGCCCAACCGCGCCGCGCGCCTCTTGCCGGCCAGCCCTCGAGTCACCGCCCCGCCCCGCCCCGCCCCGCCCCTCCCGGCCAGCCCCGCCCCGCGCCGCCGCCCCCACCCCTAGGCCGAGCCGGCGGGAGGAACAGAGAAGGGAGGCAGGAGGGAACCAGGGGGCCTTGTGAGAGGGGCCGGCCGGCCGAGACCGAGGGAGACCGAGGGAGACCGAGCGGAGCGCACGCCCAGGAAGGAGAGGGCAGGAGAGCTCGGGAGACAAGACCCGCCAGACGGGAGACGGAGGGATCAAGAGAGAGGTGAGAGAAGAGGCAGAGGGAGACAGTGGGTGCCAGGGACGCCACCGAGATGTGCGCAGAGCGAGATCCAGAGAGGCGCGAGAGCCAGCGGGCGGTGACGTGCCGGAGGGCACCGAGGCAGGCCGGTTAGAGGGAGGGGACGGTAAAGAGAGGGGACAGCTAGGAAGACGAGTGGCCTGGGCAGCGGTAAAGTAGCTTCGGAGCTCTCCAGACTCTCAGAGCATCCTGTGGCCCCCTGACCACAGCTCCACTCAGTAACCGTTTCTCTTTGGTCCAAAGCTGGGAAAAGGCAAAGCTCACCCTTTCTTTTTCCTTGCTTCCATCTCTTCCTCTAATTAGGGGGATGGAACATAGTCCACATCATCCCGGGGGCGCCAGGAGGATGTGTCCAGGTACCACTGGAATTTGCACTTCAAGCCAATCCTGGCTGGAGAACATCATCCTCTCAGGGCAGCTCGGAGAGGAACGAGGTCGTTCGTGGTAAACTGAGGCGGGTGGTGGTGGAGTGCACAGGTGCGGCCACCGCCCTTCGAGTTGCATCCCTGCATGCTGCTGCAGCCCTGCAGGGCTGGAGCCCCGCGCCCTGGACTGGAGGCTGAGCATGGCCACCTCCTGCCCAGCTGGACTGTGTTCCCGCCTTTGCCCCTGCTCCTGCCCTGAGAGGATGATGTTCTCCAGCCAGGATTGGCTTGAAGTGCAAATTCCAGTGGTACCTGGACACATCCTCCTGGCGCCCCCGGGATGATGTGGACTATGTTCCATCCCCCTAATTAGAGGAAGAGATGGAAGCAAGGAAAAAGAAAGGATGAGCTTTGCCTTTTCCCAGCTTTGGACCATCAAGAATCTGTTACTGAGTGGAGCTGTGGTCAGGCGGCCACAGGGTGCTCTGAGAGTCTGGGGACCAAACTCTGTTGGGACCTGGCTCCACCACTGAGCCTCAAAGTCTCCAACACAGTTGAGCAAGTTGGCAGCACCTTCTCTAGATCCTTCTCTTTATTATTAGGAGAGTAAAAGCCCAAACTGTGGTGTGAACTGTCCACTGAGTTTCTTTCTTTGGCCCTGCCATTACCAGTCAAACCACGGCCCTTTCGGGCCTCAGTTCCCTGACCTGTCCTGGGGCCTCAGTTCCCTGACCTGTCCTGGGGCCTCAGTTCCCTGACCTGTCCTGGGGACATGCTGACACTTGGCTCCAGAGAGGCTGTGAGGACTCAGTGGGGGATTCATTACCTCAAGGCCCCACAGAGTCTGTTTGGGGAGAGGACAGTTCCTCTAGGCAAGGGGGGGTGGAATGTGCCCAGGAGGCTGGGGGAGTGATGCCTTCCCTCCCCCCTCCTTCTCCTAGGGCGGCATCGTGGGTCCCATTTTCCAGCTCCATCCACCACCCACTGCCAGTGTCTGGCCCTCAGCTGCTGTCCTTGGACACTCCTACTTCCTATGTGAGCTCTCTGTGAGGCCTCAGCCTTCACACACACACACACACACACACGTGCACGCCCCCCAAATTAGGCCTACTACACCCACAACCTTGCCCCTCCCCAAACTGATACAGTTCCTGCAGCTCCCACAGCTACCAGGAAGACTTTAGGCTGGCCCTAGGCCCCTGGCACCTGCACCAGACTCTGGGGGAACTAGGAGGTGTCCAAGATGCTTTGTCTACACGAGCTGGGGTGGGGGCAAAGAATGCCTTACTCTGGTAGGACCCAAACACTAAGAGCTCACTGCCTCTCCTCCCCAGTTGTGTCGTGACTGAACCTTAGGGTCATCATTAGGACTGAAAGAAGTTGGCCTCAGTGGCCTCTGGTTGCTTCAGACTCCCTGGGTGGGTGGTGCTATGAGTCTAAATGGCTCTTCAGAAGGGATGGTGAGGGACCCACTGAGAGCAATAGTGTCCCACACTATCCCCTGAGCAGGCTTCTTATGGAAAGATGGAGAGACAGTGGGGCCATGCTCAGGCCTGTTGGCCCAGCAGCCAGCGACCTCCCACAAGGCAAATGGAGACAAGCCAGTGTCTCCTGGAGACCAAGGCGGCCCTGCTGGGCCCTTCCCCAAGAGTTGGCTCAGAGAACCCCTCCCTAGGTGGATTATTGGGTATCACCCAGTGATACCCATCCTTTCTCAGATGGGAAACTGAGGCCCAGGAAGAGGAAGGGACTGGCTCAGGGATCCAGAGGGAGGTAGGGCTGGTTTCTCTTGCTCTCTGTGCATATACCAGCATCAGGCCCTTAATCCTGGCTCCCCCTTCTCCTCCCCTACCCCAGGAGGGCCCACCCACCTCCTCTTCTTCCTTGATGCTTCCACATCTTCCTTGGGGGGAGCGGTTCTTCTGAGGGTAGGCCCAGGCACTCTATCCCCTTACCTTTTATTTGGGCCCTAACAGAAGCCACCCAGATTTGAACCATCTCTGCCCCATTCTGAAGACCTGAGGGTCTCACGTCCTCAAGATGTGTCCTCAGGTCCCAGATCAAAGGACACCAGTATCACATTATTGACCAGCTGTCACCAAACCTATTTTACCATCAGTCGGCCTCCTGGGGTAGCTCCTTGGTCTGGTGGTGGGGAGGAGGTAATTTTCAGGATGGAGCCCTCATCTCTCAATTGGTGTGTGGGGGGAGGTTAGAAGACTTGCAGTCCAGCCCCCACCCACTCCACAGGTGTGCGCCCCCAACTCCCTGGACACCCGCCAGGGCTGTTTCCAGCGCCCCAGCCGAGGCCTGCAGCGCGGGGCTTGTCGTAGAGGCTGAAAATGAGACCCTGAAGGCTGGGAAGGGAATGCCCTCCACCGGGAGGCCTCGGTCGGCTCCCACGCTCGAAAGCGGCAGGCCCCCGCCCCTGACCTCCCAAAGCACCTCCCTCGAAGGTCTACCCCTGTTTCCCCTCAGTACACACAAGCAGTCTCCCTGCCGCACGACCCCAGAGCAAACCTGCAGAAAACCCCTTTTAGGCGAAAATTGCACACGAACAGCGGCGGGACCTCCTCCGCTCGGGAATCGCAGCGCTGGCTGCGGAAAAGAGGTTCACAGAAAACAGGCCTCCCCTCCCTGCCGAGAACAACTGAAGCCCCCTCCCCAGGGGGCTGCGGCCCGGACCCGCAGCTCCCACCCAGGGCGCGCAGCCGCCGGCCAGTGCCTGGGACCCTCCCCTCCGGGGCCTCCGCCGCCGCCTCGACAATCCCGGAAACCGTCCGCGCGCCCGGCGCAGTGGAAAAGGTGACCTAAGCGCCCGGAGCCAGCCGCCCTCCCAGGCGGCCAGGCGGCGAGGGGCTCCGGGAGGCAGGGGTCCCCGGGCCGCCCCGACACTGGGTGGGGACCCTGGGAGCGCGAGACCGCACCCCGCCGGGGCTCTGCCCCTCAGACCCCGCAGCCCCGGCGGAGGTCTCATTCCCTTAACTCATTCCCTAAGCACCGCGTGCAGGTTCAGACCCTCCTCGCCGCCAGCCGCGCCCTCCTGCAGCCCGGCGCCTCTCACGCGATTCTGGAGTGGCTCGGCGCGCCACGGGTCCCGAGCCATTGCGCGGATGGGGAAGCTGAGTCGGAGGGGACAGCTGGAGCAGGGTCCGACACACCGGAGCGTCTGCATTTTCTGGAGGGCCCTGGCCGGAGCTCTCCTCCGGTCCCCGTTTGGCCGAGGCCCGTTTTTTGTCTCCGCTCCCACTGGCATCGGGTCTGTATTTTTCTCTGCAAAACGAAGTTGGGCCCGGGAGAGGAGAGGCGGTTTCCTCCTGAACGGTCAGCTCACCTCTGGGTGCAATTGGCCCGAATAGTCCCCTGCCAGGGTCCCCATAACCTGCCCCCGGTTGACAGAGGGGTCATTGAGCCTTGAGAGATCCAGCTGGCCCAGGCCGCCCTGGCCCGGCCTCGAGGCCTCTGGCCCCCTCTGCAGCCCTGCACGCCCGCCGCCCAGGGCGTGGTCTCTGCCGCGGGACGCGGCGCGAGCGCCCCGAGTGGGGCTCGTTCCTCCTCTTTTCTGTTTTTAAGCTCTCGGATCTGATTGCTCCCAGCCCGGGGCAGGCTGGCAGTGGCGGCGTTGGAGGTGGCACTTGGGCTGGGGGCCGGCCTGGTGGCGGGTGGGCAGTGCCTGGCAGAGGACGCCTGGGTCTGGGCCGGAACGCGCCGTCCGTCCGGACAGGCAGCAACCCGCTCCCTGCTCTTGCCGTCGTGCCAGACTGGCGACTTCTGCCTCGCCTTCCGAACGGAACATCCCGAGGCTGTAAAATTACCCCATCCCCACGCTCGCAGGTCACTATCTTTTGGGGACCACCGAGTCATTTTCTCTTGAGAACCCAGATCTGTGACGCTTTCCTTTATGAAAATTCCAAAGCCATGTGTGGGCTTTCGTTTTGAGCAATTTCAAAGCTCTAGGAGCTCGGGGGTCAAATAGTGTTTTGGGTGCCAGGGCCTTTAGACAGTCCCTCGCTCCAAGTTCCCCCGCATGGAGCAATTTACAAATTTATCCTTTGGAATTGGTTATTTTCGTTTTGGAGGTTTTGTTGTTGTTTTAGTGTGCGATTTTCTTTGGAGGTGAGTTTAAAAAGATAG